GGGTAAAGAGAATAGTGCAACAATGAATGAGTGGAAGCCCAAAATCTCTGTAAATGTGTATGAAAATTAATAAAATATAATTATAGGAAAAAAAAATAGAGCAGCAACCACTATTCAGGGCAAGGGTCACCCAGAGCCTGTCCCTAGCATACAGACACCCCCAGAAGCACCCGATAGCACTGGGGGAGCCCTCACACACAGACAAGTCACCTACTACCACCTCCTAAGAGACACCTCCCAGTGTGCACTCCATGGAGGGTGGGCCATGCTGGTCTCTGTACCTTTGTGAGGAGGTGCTGGTTTTCCTGAATCTGTGCTTCTTCCACTCCTCTTAAAGTATTTCTCAAATCCTTGGGAACAAGACAACACACATGACACTCTAAACCACCACAATATACAGTCAGGTCAGACAGAGATGTGATAGAGCAAGCTCCCCTCTGTCATCCTCCTGCCCACGGCCAGGCAGCTGGGCTGGCAACATGCCTCCCTCATCTAGCACACAAGCCAGTGTTTAGAGCTGACTAGTCTGCACAGCAGCCCGTTCCACCTCCCGACACACCACAGTGTCTGCAGATGCAGACTGTCCCCATCCTTCGCTAGATCCATGCAGCAACTTCACTGAGGATCGGAGAAGAACTAGAGGGAGCATGCTGAGGTTCGGGGGAGGAGGGCTACAGGGCACAGAGCTGAGATTCTGAGAGGGAGAGGGGCTACAGGGAAAAGGGCTGGGTTCTGAGAGAGGAGAGGGGCTGCAGGGCACAGGGCTGAGGTGTGGAGGGATTACAGAGTACAGAGCAGGTTGGGAGCCCTGTCTGTAGTCCTGTGCACTCCAGGGGGAGCAGATACCTTTGGGTGGCTGTGACCACAGCCACTGGGAGAAGGACACCAGTCGAGCCCTCAGAGCCAGCTGCTGACAGTAGATTCCTTGGAGGCCCTGAAAAGGGGAGGAGGTCAGCACCTCTGAAGACAGAGGAGATGTTTTTGACCTGAGCTCAGGTGAGGCATGAACCTGCAGTCTTTCTTTCTCTACATGCTTAACAGGTACATTCCAAACAGGAACTCAATTCTCTATGGAACTGTACAAAGAACAGCCAAAAAAACTAAAAGGTCTTTCTTACCCGAGGTGTTAGGGTTAGCTGACCAAGGGAGGAGCTTCTGCCTCTAAAAGTACTTTATGGAATATACTCACTACCTGTACTGAAACCTAATTAAGCAAATAAGACATTTTTACACCATAAAACAGTGACTAGGGATGACAGAGAACTGGCACCTTCAAGCTGTGGTGCTGGAGAAGAGTGTTGAATATACCATGGACTACTAGGAGAACAGTTTTGTCCTGAAGAAGGTAAAGCCGGAATGCTCCTTCGAGTCAAGGATTCTGAAGCTTTGTTTAACACACTTTGGGCATGTTGCAAGGAGGGACTGGTCCTTGGAGAGGGGCATCATGTTTGGGAGAGTGAAGGGACAGCGCAGGAGAGGAAGACCCTCGATGAGATGGATCGATTCTGTGATTGGGGTGGTGGGAATGAGCGTGTCAGAGACAGTGAGGTTGACACAGGATAGAGCAGGGTTTAGGGTTCTTGTACATAGGATCACTATGAATCACAAGCGACTCGAAGGCACATAACATGGTTAATTAACATCCTAATAACACACTTAACAACAACAGCCTAAAGAATATCTATAGCACTTAATTGATAGCCTATGTAAAACCTGTGGCACATAATCCCTCCAGAAGTAAATTGTATCAGCAGATTAGTAGGGATCAACCAATGTCCTTCCGACTAAAAGCCAAATAGGTCACAAACTCTCACATCCTTTATCTTACATCTTCATCAACAACTCTGCGAGGTACAAACTAGTCACTGTGTGGAGTAGATTCCGACTCTCGGTTGACTCTACATCAGGTTACCAAATTGCAAATCTTAACGCTAGCCGACGGCCTCCTAGCTCCCCTGTAAAGCAGCTGGATTTGAACTGCCCACCTTTCGGTTAGCAGTCTAAGACGTAGCACACTTCTACCACCGCTGAGCACCAATGTAAACTAAGACTTGAAGCTGAATCGAGTCGATAGAGAAAATCTGGTAAATTAGCGGTGGGGCAGGACTCGAAGGCTTATTGCTCATGTCAGCCTATCTGAAGGGGCGGTAATCTGACTCCGGTTGAGGGTAGTGGGCAAACGGTTAGAGACGGGAAAGAGAGGGACTGACGCAGAGGGGCCGACAAGCGAGTTCAGGTCAGGGAATTAGCCAGTCTTAGCTGCCGGGTTTGGGCCAGCACTGGGCAGCTCAGACCAGATCCTGGACAACCCGCCAGTTGGCTCCCCGAGCCGGCTGGCGCACTGGGCGCACTGCGATCACGTCACCGCCGAGTCGAGCGCTGTTAGGCCCGCCCCCGCTTCCTGGAACCGGCCGGCGGCACACCCCAGCTCACATTCCAGGTCGTGCCGAGAGCCCTCACGCCTGGCCCTGCCGTCTTGCCACCTCCTAGGCCACCACCACATCGCCTGAGCACCGCGACCGTCCTGGCCACCGCCTGACTGCCGACCGCCGCAGCCAGCCGGTGCAACATCCCCCCCACCACGGCTTCGCGCCCCTCGTGCAAGCGCATGCGCAGGACCAGAGACGGCGCGGTCGCCGGTGGCTATGCGCATGCTCGGGACTTCTGGCTAGGTGTCTACTTCAAGGCCTGACTCTCTTTAAGGGGTTAAGCATAGTGCCACCTTACCTTGTCTAGACGCCTCAGCTCAGAAAACCGGGAGACTGATTTTTAAAGAGTTAACCAGCCCTAGAGTAATTTAGAAGTTGGGCGTACCCAGGGATACCTACTTCCGGGGTCCTTCATGGAAAGCGGCTCACAAAAGTGATTCGCTCTTTCCTGCACCACCCCAACCCCAGGCTTGAGTGCTGCTGAAGCTGTCCATCGTCACTCGGCAGCCAACCTACATAGATCTTCTGTTACACTTGATGAGCAGAGGAACCGATTCAGTATATGCCATGCCGCATTGAGCCCCTTTTCGAATTACCTTTTGGTCCTTGAGAGCCACAATAACCCTTGCTGATTTTGATGGGCTTGCGGCCGTGCTGTCTGTAAATTTGGACGTCAGAGGTGCACGCTGCAGCCGATTCTTGGCAGGCCTTTGGTGCCCTCCTACCTCTGCAAGGCCATCGCCCATCGCTTCTTAAATTGCATTTTCCAGATTCTGCCAGGGTGGTCACAGGCTTGTTTTCGTTTAGAGTACTGTATACAGCTGTTACGTTTTGGAAGCAAAGATGCCAGGGAAAAGGCCACTCAATGCGACTGCTATCCCAGGTGCCAAAAGGGAACGGAAGGCAATCACCCTTGACATCAAATTAGAAGTTTTAAGACGATTCGAAGCGGGCGAGAAACTCAGCCAAATCGCGAAGACCTTAGGGCTCGCAGTCTCCACAGTGGCGACCATCCGAGACAATAAAGAAAAAATCAAAGCGAGTTCGCAAATAACTACACCCTTGAGAGCCTCCCGGCTGACTCACCACCGCAGTGCAGTGATGGAGAACATGGAGAGGCTGTTGAGTGTCTGGCTCGAAGACCAGAGCCAGCGCAATGTGCCGCTGAGCGTCGCCATCATTCAGGAGAAAGCCAAGAGCTTGTTTGACGACTTACAGCGTGAACAAGGCGAAAGCTCGCAAATGGAGAAATTCAGTGCAAGTAAAGGATGGTTTGTTAGGTTCAAGGAGCGCCATTGTTTACCGCACTTCAAGATGAACACCACTCCTCCTGGGGGCAACGTGGACACATACCTAGAAATGCTGAAAAGCATCATTGAAGAAGGTGAGTACACCCCCTGGCAAGTCTTTAATGTAGATGAGACGGGGCTTTATTGGAAAAGGCTGCCGGAAGGAATGTTTCTTTCTGCGGAGGAGAAAGCTCAACCAGGGTTTAAATCATCCAGAGATCGCTTGATGCTGCTCCTAGGGGGCAATGCTGCTGGGGACTTCAAGCTAAAGCCCCTACTGGTGTACCACTCAGAAAATCCTGCAGCTTTGAAGGGTTACTCCAAGCCCAACCTGCCTGTCATCTGGCGCTCAGACAAAAAGGCTTGGGCTACCAGGGCCATCTTTCATGAATGGTTCACGTACTTTTTTTGCCCTGCTGTTGAGAAGTACTGTGCTCAAAATAATCTCACCAACAAAGCACTGCTCATCCTGGATGGAGCACCATGCCACCCAGTGAATCTGAGTGACCTGTCTGCTCATGTAAGAGTAGAGTATCTTCATGACACTACAGCCGACCTGATTCAGCCCATGGGTCAAGGTGTGACCTCCATCTTCAAAGCTCATTACCTGAGAAGGACTTTTGAGCACATCCTGGAAGCAACAGATGGAGAGGATAAGGCTACAGTCAGGGAGTTTTGGAGGAACTACAGTATCATGGATGCTGTGGACAACATTGTGGTCGCTTGGGAGGCGCTCAAACCTGTAACAATGAACAGTTTGTGGAAGAAGATTTGGCCAGAGTGTGTTCAGTGCCACAGTCTTCCCCGGACAGACAACATTACACAGCTTCGACAAGACATTATGACCCTTGCCAGGAATGTGGCCTGTGAGGAGGTCACAGATGCTGATCTGGGCCGGTTGCTGCAGTCTCATGAAGACGATCTCTCAAATCAGGAGTTGATGCAGCTGCAACAGGGGTGGGCTGCAGGAGAGGAAGCTGGTGAGGATGCCTCCCCTGCTCTGCGGCAGTTGACCACAGAAGCTCTCTCAGTGGCCTTCTCGCACTTCGAAGCTGGCTTGAAGATTCTTACCAGTAACAGCTCTGATGATGAATGGAAGCAGCAAGTCTCCAGAGCAATCAACAAGGCCATATACTGCTATAGGGAACTGTACAATGAGAAGAAGCGGCGTTCAAAGCAGCTGTCTTAGGCCACTTTACAATGTATGTAACCAAGAGTTAGGATTAACCCAGGTAACCTCGACAGATGAGGTGCAGGCAAACCTTTCTATGTCCAGAACTGTGCTTTAGTCTTTTTTATTTTGGCACTTGAGAGTGATACATTTTGTCCTTAAAATGTCATTTAAGGATGACCAGGAAAATGTTTTTTATAAAAGCTACAGAGGAAGGACTGACCCCAGAAGTTGTTGTGTATCACCTAGTCAGAACCAACTCAGCTGACCCTTCAGGTTTTCAAAAACTGTAAATCATATGGGAGGACATTTCCAGTTTTTCTCCCCAGGAACAGCTAGTGGATTTGAACCACCCACCTTTGGGTTGGCAGTGCAAGTCCTTACCCACTAGGCCACCAGAGCTCCCATGCTCTGCAGTCCCTGTTGTGAAAGCATGTGACTCTGATGCATGAATAATTGGACCTGTGGGAAAGAACAGGGAGTCCAGAAATTACCCCAAGTTGATGATAGAGGTGATAACTCAAAACACTGGGCAAAAATAAATTATAATGTGGAACAACTGGTTCATCCATTTAAAAAATAAAATTGAACCCTACCTCACAGCACCCTCCAAATGGATCAGCATCTCAATGTGAAAAATAAAACTATACCCCTAGACACCCACACTAGAGAGCAAAGGTGATTTACTTTATAACCTGGGTGTTGGGTTAAAAAGGATAGGCATTTTCCAACCATTGAAGTCTAGATGCAATGAAAAGAGAATGAATATCAATTTGACCCTCTTAAAATGCAAAAAGCATGGAAAAGAATACATAACACATTGAAAAGACAATTGATACATTGGAAGAAAATATTTGCAACACAGATGACAGATTAATATCACTAATATGTAAAGAACTCTTAAGAATTAAGAGGGGGAAAGACCAAACACACAATAGAAAAGTGGGCAAGAAATAATTCATAATTAAGGCCTTTAAACATATGAAGATATCCAGCCTCAATGACAACTTCAGAAATACACACTGAAGGAACAGATCCTGCTTCTCATTTACCAGGTTAGCTATTAACAAAAAGTATTACAGTTGCTTCCAAGTTGTTTTCTAGTGATAGTCGACAATGAGGAAGAACTCTGAACTTAATAGGGTGTTATTTCCAGGACACACTGCTAAGTGAAGAAAAAAAAACAACACACCACAATATGCAAAAAAGTATGGGGCTGGGGGGGGCCAAGGAAAAATAAAACATCTTGTTCATTTGTACAAAAGGGAGCACAGGCACCAGTTGAGAAATCAAAGGCCCTATCAAGAACTTTAAAGGGCAGAGATGGCCTTTAAAGAGAGGGTGCACCTGACTCAAGTCATGGTGTTCTTGTGGACTTATTTTCATTTCTTTCACCTTCAATTTTAATTTGTATATGAGTAGAGACAAGCTTGGGAGCAGGAGTGGCATCCACTCTGTAAATACTTTGCCTCTGGAAACCCTACGAACCTGGAGAAAGAATGAAAGTCATGCAAGTGTCAAGGACTTTCATTCATAGGATCACTATGAGTCGCCTACAATTCAACGGCACTTAACAACCCAGAAAGAGACCATTTGGCCTAGTGGACCTATAGCGATGCTACCAACCCAAAGGTGGGTGACTAATCCCTGGTCCTAAGGCCCGTTTTTCATTGTTTTTGTTCAAACAGTCTTCTAGGTTGTATAGCCCTGGAGTGTCCACTTACCATACATAGGTAACCTGTGGTCACTATAAAGCTGAACACGGTGACACCAATGTGTCAAATGCGATAATGGTTACCCATGGTGGACGGTGTTTGGTGGTACTCCCTGGTTGAAATAAGCTTGGAAGCAGGAGTGGCATCCACTTCCATAAGTAGCTTGCCTCCGGAAACCTTATGAACCTGGAGAAAGGATAAAAGTCACGCACGCAAGTGTTGAGGACTTTGGTTCATAGGGTTGCTATGAGTAGCCTACGACTCGACGACACTTAACATGAGTAGTTTAGAGTCAGTCCTTGACCTGGTTTTGACTGGTGATACAGAGTTTTTCCAACGTCTTTCCACTGATGTAGTCAATTTTGAGGGGAAGGCCAAGTGTAGAGTCACTTTGTTTTTTTTAAAATTAGTATTTGCCATTGAATACATAATTCACTGTATAAAATTAAAAGAATGAAAAAGGAGCACAGGAAGGAGAAACCAGAGGCTGATGAGATCAGTTGCAGGAGGGGAGGTGGCAAGAGAGGATGCCCCCTCTTGCATACGTCTGGAAAATTCTGACTTTGAAATCATGTCAGTATGTTAGACATTTACACATAAAGCATGCAGGCATCACAGGAGCACCGTAAATCTGACTGCAGTGCCTGAGCAACATGTGGGATGGATAACCCCACAGGGAAGGGTGAGATGTGTACAGTACATCACATTGGAACACTATAGTTTGACTGTATGCCCTCAGGCTAACTTGATAGAAGCGGGGCAAAAAGCCTAAACATCTGTTGAACCATGGCTGGTAGGCTTCTTTTCCACAGAGGCACAGCTTAGCTCTTCTGAAAAAACCTTGCTTGTGTTGTTGGACTGAATAGCTAATTAAATGTTTGGTTAGTAACAGAGCCAGTTTCTTTTCTTGTAAGGAAGGTAACTATACGAAAAAGGGAATAATGGAATGAACCTGTGGTGTTAGATTTAAATTGGAGGTACCGCTGAGAATGAGTTGGACACAGTGACTACATCAATGGAACCAAGTGATCAGAGATGAGGATGGTTCAGATGTGTTGTTCATAAGGTCACTATGAGTCGACCTCTATTCAACAGTACTTAACCACTGTTGGGATTAAGATGGTTAAGCGGTAAATAGTTGCACTGTCAGCTGAAAGCCAAACCTACTAGCTGCTCTTTGGGAGAAAGATGAGCAGTTTCTATGTGATTTACAGCCACTGAAAACCTGCTAGATGGACAGTTATAACTTGGTTCTGTCTCAGCAGCATATAACAGCATTGTGCCCTCATGGGTTTATTTTTAATGTAGTTGTAGCCAGAGAAAGTATATTAAACATGACAGATATCATGAAGATGGCACAGGATAGGCCAAGGTTCAGATTTGTTGTTCATAGGGTTGCTATGAATTAATTGTTGGCACAGCGGCACTTGATAACAACCAGAGAACTAGATCTGTGGGGTTATAGCTCTGACTGCTGAGAGTGATGCCCCAGTAACAGTGAGCACACCTAGGACTGTTCTTCAAGAAGGGGGTCCGCGCCGGGACTGGAAAAGGAGACGAGATTGAAATGTCCTACTATGCCAGGTTAAGAGTGCTTATAGAATGATAGGCACATGTCAAAAGGACACAGACAGTCAGTTCTTACTGGCAAAGATCTCTGACATTTTGATCAGAGGACAAACTCAGTAAGAGTATAAACCAGGGAGCTCTGGTGGCCTAGTGGCAAGAAGCTGCACTGCAATCCCAGAGGCATGCAGTTTGAATCCACCAGATGCTCTGCTGGAGGAGGAGGGGCAATCTCCTCCTGTACCAGTCAGATCTGATTTGACGGTACACACACAAAAATAATAAAATAAAGAAAAACTTTTTTAAAAAAAGGTATCAACCATCCATGTGTTACAACTGTCACCCATGCCAGTGGGTGGAATCTTAGGAATCACTGAATATTTACGTGGACTTGAAGTCTCTTCCCACAAGATGCTAATGAAGTATGAAATATTAGTGAGTCAGAATCAATGACAATGGGTTTTACATGGTTATTTTACAGTGGAGAAATGTGATAGGACACCCACGTGACCAAATGGTATCTCCATGTGACAGACTGACATTGTGTGGCTCCTGGTGTCATGCACTGAGATGCTGTCACCTCTGTGCAATTCCCACCAAGTGCACACTCAAAGTCTATCCTGAGACACACAATTAGGGAGCCATTCTTAAAATAGTTAACCTGCAATTTGAGGAATGTTCATGCTACACACTCCTCTGGGTTAAAAGTGGATGGAGGGATGACAGTTGACTGTTGTGTTGTCTAGGTTGTTTGGCGGGTGGGGGCAGAAGGTACAAGAGGAAATACTTAGAAAAAGATGCTATTAGGACAATTGGAGAAATTGGAGCAGGCCTTCTGCAGGAATGTTGCACATGAGTGCTTAGAGAGGGGCTTCATCTCTGCAGCTTACCACCAAATGGTTCAAAAAGCCTTGGGTATAGAGAGAGAATAAACTAATGTGGCAAAATGGCTGCACTTAGGGAATCTGGAAAATCGGGATTTTTTTTTGGGGGGGCAACTTCTATAAATTCTCCAGTATAAAGTTAAAATAACTATTACATACCTTTAAAAGGGCAGGTGGCCACACTCTCCATTCAACATGCAAGGCACAGTGCTAGCTGTCCTGTCTGCATTTGGATACCCACATCGTCCTGCTACTGTAGCCACCTTCTGTGAGTCCCTGGCAGGAACAGCCTCTGCCCACATGGCACCCATCCACCTAATCCTCGGATGTGGGTAACACCTTCTACAGATTGATTTTTTCTGGGTCACAGCCCATCTGAGATCCCACTCACACACACACCTAGTCTACCCAAAGGCCACCCATTAATATCCCCATTCAAAAAGAAACTGACCTGAGGTTCAAAAAGCCTTGGAGTGAGGTAGGTGGTCAGCCAATTTCCACTGGTTATTATCTTGGGTGGAATCATACCCACTAAAGTGTGCAATAGGTAGTGCTCCCTCATGATAGGCCAAGCAGTCGCTGGGATCAACACCCTTAATCCCATCAAAGTCCTGATCTCAGGAGGGGAGTTACCCTGGCATGTGGCCTGTAACACTTTATCTCACAGGAGAACAACAAACTCAAAGAATAAATTTGTTTGTGTAAGATCCCTTATGTTATAACATCACTGGTGGACTGAGACAGTTATTGAGACAATTGTACTTGGAGAATGCAGGAAAAAAACACAGCTCCCATTTACTGCATGTTTACTACTTAGGAACCCCATTAGGAAGTCACCAGTCTGCAAAAAGAGAACTGGGAGAAATTGCCTAACTTCCTCAGGTACACATCACGTCAGATGCTGCTAGCCTGTGTACTTCTTCCCATGGACCCACGCCTGTGAGCTGTGCCCTGCCCCAACCCAGCATACAGCGGCTACAGAACAGGTATTTAATGGCCAGATGGGGCACCGGGACAACTGAGTGCTCACCAGCAGGCCTGGCCCACCTGTGGGGCCCCCTCAGGTGATGGGGACCACACTCCTGCTGCTTTTCCCCCACCTCACTATGGACTCTTGCAAAGTTCTTATGCACAATTCTGTTTGAAGACCATCAGCCAGAAAGAGCAGGAGGGGAAGAAGTGTACTGGTGGAAGGGTCCAAATAAAGGTGAGGCAAAGAGGTCCAAATAAAACCAACCCCACCCAACAGTTGCCAATACCCCAACATTTCCTGGGGCTCAGAGACTGTGACTTGGACCACAGGGAGACGTAATGGCACAGCTGTGATGCAGCAGAGAATGAGTAGGAATGTGCAGAACTTGTCTGGTTCACAGGGCCTTGTCAAGGTGTGGGAGCTGTCACACCCGGTTCTTCCTTTCTGATGGGGAGAGGTCAGTGACACCGCAGTTGAGTAACCACTCCCATTGTCCACCAAACTGATTGCCAGGCTGCCAAAGTACCACCACCAAGCTTCCCCATCCAGGTGGAGCCTCTCACCACCACATCCTTGACTTGCTGCCTCAGTGTCCACTGTGCTCCAGCAGCCAGTCCAAGGTAGGAGGGCAGTGTAGAAGAGCCAGCATAGACAGCCGTGCTTCCTGAAGGTCCCAAATGTCCTGCCGTTCAGCCATGCCCTGGACAGTAGGCTATAAAGTGCACAGTTCTGTGGAATGCCCAGCACAACACAGCTCCCACTCAGGTGAAAAGGGTGGTGAAGTGTGGCCTGAGGTGCAGCCTTCGTCACATAGATTCAAGACCCCCACACTCTGTCTTTCCCTGGGGATCGCTCCAATTGATGCTCCAAGTCCCAGTGCCCCAAAGTCCCCATTGGCCAGAGTGGAGCACCAGAGCCCTCGCAGGCACTGCAACAGCAGCTCTGCCACATGTGACAAACTGGCCCTGAGAAGGAACCCAGGAGCTGTTGTAAGCCTCGCTTGCCTAATCTGCCTCAACACCACACCTGAGGCTGAGGCGCCCTGCAGCGAGACCTCACTAACCAGCCTGGAGGATGGAAGAGCATGGCCAGTCTGCAGCAGAAAGACTCCAAGATTTCTCCTCTCCCTGTTGGACAGAGCCCCTGATGCCCTCAGCCTGCGAGGAAGGTCTGCAAGGAGGTTTCATCCAGGGGCCCCCAGACGCCCTCAGTGACATGAGGGGTTGAAGTGATAGCAGCAAGAGGAAGTCTCTGGGCATAACCCACACCTCTCCTGCAGGGGAAACGCAGGCCTGAGGAAGTCTACGCTGCTGGGAACTGACATCCCTGGTGGCTCTCTGGTATGTCAGCCTGGCCCAGAGGACAGAGGGCTCTTTGCCATGGGGAGCTGAGAAGCCCTCCACATGCCACAACCCACCAGAGTCTCAAGCCCAGTAGGCCCCAGACAATGGTCCCCCCGTTAAGGTGGCTGGCTCATCCTTGGGCCCAGCAGGCATGGATCCAGGGTCTACAGGATGCACCTGGACCTGAGCGTTGGCCTGCCCCCGGCTGCCTGCAGCCTAGCCATCCATGCCGAGGCCTGGATCCTGGAAGAGTGACTGCTTACGCAGAGTCAGGCGAGCACACTTTGGGCATGTGGTCGAGTTGTCATAGTAGCAGTCCCTGCAGAAAAAGACTGGGTCAGAGTTCTGACTTTAGAAAGGGGACTCTCCCATCAATGGGATTGCCAAGCCTCACCACCTGATATCCACCTGACGTCCCATCATCCTTCTACAGACAAAGATACTGAGGCTCAGGAGTGGGTGACCCAGTTACATAAACTTCCAGGTGGCTGACAGACTGAATTTTGAAATGATATGGTGGGCTCCGACAGACTGTCTGGAATAACTACCTAGGTGAAGTGCCTTTCCATTGCTGAATTTTACTTCAGTCCTTTCCTTTCATCATACCTGGCATTTTTAAAGTTGCCACAATAAACAGCAAACACCATGCAAAAACTAGTGAGACAGGACAGGAGCAGATGGTGACCCTGGCTTCAAGAAGGTTTATATAGCCCACTGTGTGACGGTGTTAATAATTACAGCTTGCTTGGGTCCACAATCGACACTCTTGGCATCAGCAGTCAAGAAATCATTGCATTGGGAAAATGTGCTGTCAGGGACCTCTCCAGAGTACTGAGAAGCAACAATGTCATTCTAGAGACTAAGGTGTGCCTGATCCAGGCCATAGTCTTTGCAATTACTTGCTATGCATCAGAAAGCTGGATAATGACTAAGAATGACAGAAGAATTGATGCCTTTGAGTTATGGTGTGGGAGAAGAGTCTGGAGAACATACCGTTGACTGCCAGGAAAACCAATAAATCTGTCTTGGAGAGGTGGAAACCAAGTTTTAGGATTTTTGAAGCTGTTTGGCATGAGGTCAGAAGGGAGAAGGACATCATGCTTGGAAGGGTGGAAGGACAGCACAGGAGAGGATGAGATGGATTGATACAGTAAGCAGGGTAATGTGAGCAGGTGTGTCGCCGTCAGTGAGACTGGATCAGGATAGGGCAGGACTCAAGAGTTGCTGTACTTAGGTCTCTATGAGTTGCAGGCACCTCAACTCCACATAACAAGAACAACAACAGAACGCACCCATAGTAACTGTGCTTAGGAGTAAAAGTGCTGTTTTTCTTCCAATTTTTGTGTCACTTTTCAAACAGCCACTAAATTTTTTTTAACAGATGACTTACTACGTTTGATCTATGTGCTTAATACATGAAGGTAGTAGGTATTTCTTTTGGCCCAAGAAGCTCTGAAAAAAGTCATTGATCCAGTAATCTTCTAGATCTAACCCTGACAAACAGACATGTTCCTGGCCAAGCTGGGAGTCAAGAGGCCATCCAAGACAGGTCTGGGCTGTGGTGCCCCCTCTTTAAACTCCACAACTCCTTAAAGAACCTTTAATTTATCCACAGACAACCCCAGCAAAGGGCTTGGGAAGTCGAGGTGTGCATGTTGTCCCACTCCTACCCTGTAGGTGAGACTCCAAGAAGGGAAGTGAGTACCCACCTGTGGAAGACAGCTGAGCAGTCAGTGCACACGGAAGTGTGGCTGTCAAAGGGGAACAACACATCCCCTTCTCTGCAGAGTTCACACACGAAGCCCTTGGCCTGGCACCGCTGGGAGAGGGAGTCACGGTGAGGGCAAGCTCAGGGATCACCGTGCCACTCCCCCCCTCCATGGATGAGACCTGCGACACCCCAACGGGGCCCACCTCACAGTCCAGCTTGATGTGCTTGGCAAAGAGAGTGTGGATCTCTGTCAATGAGCAGCTGAGACGGCCCACATGCACGTCCACCAGGTCCTGGACCGAGTACATCTCATCATTTTCCACAAAATGCTGCCGGTCCTGGAGCTGTCAAAGCCCAGGATCATGAGGCCACACCCACATAGCCATGAGGCCCCCACAAGCCAAGCACAGCCCAGGTGTCCCATACCCATGGGGGACATCCTATGTCATGTCCCAGGATGTCTATGTACCAATGATGCCAGGCTCCAGGTCATCACTAGGCTACCCCCACTCCCATGGGGCACTCACCAGGGTACCTACATATCAGCAAAGCGTGTCCCCACATCAGATGGGCACAGGCCCCAGGCCATGCCCCATCCACTAATGCCTGATCACTGACCTCCAGGACCCAGGAGTGCTCATGAAAACTCCAAGTGGTACTGTAACTGTGCAGCCCCCAGACAGAATCCTGGAGCCCAAGAAGGGGCATGACCATGCTTCCCCATGAATATGAAGCCCACACCACCTGCCCTGCCATCCAGTGGACACCAGCCACAGTGATCAACTCGTGCTTCAGACACTTCCCCCCATTTTTGCAGAGCCATCACCTCCAATCATGCCTGCTGCCCCAGACTGCAACCCCCACCTGCTTCCTGCTTTGTCCACTGCTCCCCAAGGGCAAGTGCAATGTCTGCATACAGCAGGTATTCAGTCACTGCTTCTCAGATGGATAAATAAATAGATGACTTTGAAAAATCTGACCTGTGGTTACCTCGGCTCAGGATAGCTGTGCAAATCACAGAGTCCCATAAGGGTTGTATGGAAAACACTTGTTCACCTAAGAATATCTTTGTGGCTTGGATACCTGCCATCATTCTCTGCTTGTAGCTGATCTATTGGGGTACCCTGGTCCCCAGCCTCTCTGCTGGCCCCTTGGCCACCTGACCTGTAAGAGCAAGCGTGACTCCATGGCCTCCTTGCAGGTGATGAAGTAAGGCTTCATTAGCAGGATGTCCTGGCGTAGCTTCTGCCGCAAGAAGGACATGGGTACCCTTAGCCAAGGAGCAAGACACCAGACGTGGGACACAGGCTACAGGGAGGGCGCTGTGATGCATGGCCATAGGGTGCCCTCAGACAAGGTACATAGTGCAGGGCAAAGAGCATGGGGTGCAGGGCACAGGGCATGGTCACAGGGGTACCCTCGGCCAGGGCTCAGTGCACAGGGAATGAGCCCCTACGACCACCGATGCTGCTCTCCTCCATCTCCCCTCACCTGATGGCCCCTAACCCATTACTGCCCCCCCTCCCTCAGAGCATGCCCCCAGCCTCTATCACCACCCCTCCCCTAGAGCACACACCATCACCCCAAAACCATTCCTCTCCCATTGCACACCCCCCATCACTGCCTATCATTGCCCCTCCCCCAGAGCATATGCTCCATCATCACCCATCAGTGCCCTTCCCCCAGGGCACACAACCCATTAACCTCCCTCACCCGGATCTCCACCAGCTCCTCCACATAGTTGAACAGCAGAGGGTTGATCTCCCGAAGCCTCAAGACTGGCCTCGACACCATCAGGGCCAGGTAGCGCATGCTGCAGCGGGACACCTGGGAACAGAATGGCACTGCTGGTGCTTGTGCCCCAGGACTCTGTCCTTCCATCCGGGGTCCAGCCCTCAAGACCACACCTCTGCCCACAACCACATTCTTCACCAGGTCCCATTTCCCTGCCATGGTGCTGCACAGCCACATCCTAGACAGATATGGCCCTATCCAGGGCCCCGCCCCCCAGCACCATGGCCCTGTCCACAACCACATTCTTCACCTGGCACCATGTCCCTTGCCCAGCACCATGCCCTCAGCCCAGCACCACACCTCTGTCCAGGGCCCGGACCCTGTTCATGACCATTCCCCCTACCTCCACCTATGCAGTGGCCTCACCTTCCGGGGCTCAAAGTCCCAGTTGTGGATGACACGTGCAGGGATGACAGCCAGGTCATTCCAGTGGCAGTGGCTGCAGTAGTACTGTCCCGTGTAGTCACACTGCCGGGCCTCACTGGGCACGCCTCCTGCAGAGGGCAGTGACAGGGCTGAGGTATGGCAGCAGAGGTCCAGTGTGGGTCCCATCACACCCATGGCCTTTCTTCAGAGTTCACTGTAGTGCACTGCACCAACATGAAACCTTCATCTTCCTCACCCAACTAGTCCTGCATCTCTGGACCTTGGTTTTGTCATCAGTAAAATGGGATAATAGCAGGCCTATCCCAGGACCAATGGAGTACATATGTTAGGATCAGTAAATCTGGGGCAGGAGGTGGCTAGGGCTGGCCCAAGTGCTAGGGATTCCCTTCCAATCACCAGGAAGGTTAGGAGAAGAATGCCCACAAGATTATGGTGGTCTAGCCCTGCCCAGTGAATTTCTGAAGTAAGTTTCCTTGACCATGATGCTAAGGTGGCCAATTTGACCCCTTGCGTAGAACTGAGGCTAAACTCAGGGACACTCTAAGTATCTATGAGTTCTGATTTGGGGGACCCCATGCCTCTCACACTGCCCCCCCCCCAGCTGCCTGCTGCCTGTGGCCTCACGCAAAGAGATGGGCGCCCTGCACTCGGCGCAGCGGTAGTCCTGGCTGTCCAGACCCGTCTCTGGGCAGATGTTCAGCTCATACTCGGCCTGGTGGCTGACTTTGGAGCGGACACAGGGCTTGGAGATGAGGTTCAGGCACTTGCTGTGACAGCGATAGTAACACCCTGGGGGAGGAGCATGCAGCCCTCAGAAGTGGAAGGGACACCGTGCTGCCCAGGCTCACCTTCAGCTGCCAGGCCCCTGCTGCAGGCCACAGCTAGGCCAGCTGGAGTGTGCTCCCTTCCCTCCTGATACAGGTGTCCACCCTTCAAACCCTGCAGCCTCTAGGGAAAGGAGTAGCAGACTGCTCCTTCAGCTCTAGACATCAGGGCCCACTTGCCAGTTTACCTGGACCGCTGGCCAGGCAGCCAACCAGGATGAAGCCCCTTCTCCAGACTGAAACCACTTCTGTTCATCCACCATCCAGTCTCCCCATCTCCCCACCCCCTTAGCCTAAAGCTCTAGTGGTGTCTTAAATGGGAGCTGCAGTTTCCTCACGCCCTATGCCACCCCGGATACAGATGGTCGTGATCGTCTGGATTACTGCAGCCCAGGTGCCCTTCAAATGTCATCATCCTCTTCCACCTCTACCCCCACTTCAGTCCAGTCTTTAGGAAAGATGAGGCAGTGTGCTTCCAGAAAGACTTGCAGCCTCGAAGCCCCCTGGGCAGTGCTGCCCCAGAAGGCTGCTATGAGTTGGAATCCATTCAACAGCAGTAGGTTAGTTTCATTTATATTTGAATAGTCACACGTGGCTAAGAGTTCCCATGCTGGGCAGTGAGATCTAGCCTGTGAGTTCCATGCAGACAAGCCATTTGGCCTCCTTCACTATGGTGCACCCAGCACAGCCCAGGAGGTCAGGACCAGTCAAAGTGCAGAACGTCATTAGAGCAGAGTAGACACAGGGTGGACACAGGAGGAGAGGCCTGAGGACCCCCCAGGTCACACCCCCAGTGGCAGCAGATCTGGATGGCCAGCTCACCTGTGCAGGTGTACCAGGTCTGGATGAGCCCCCAAATGATGGTGTTACACTTGTCACAGGTCTGCTTGACGCTCTTGCTCTTCTCCTTGTAGAAGCGATGTTCCAGGAGGACTCGGATGTTGGGCTCGTCCTCGTTGGGGTCCTGTAGGGTTACCAGTGAGCCTGACTGTTACTTATTTCTTTTCAGCTGAGTCTATTCTTTTATAATGTAATTTGAGTGAAAGTTTACAAAACAAATTAATTTTTCATTCACATTATTTTTATACTATTAGTTATAATTCCCCCATTGTAATTCCACTTAACCCCACTTCCTCCCTGCAATTCTGACATCCGTCACTACTTATCTAACTGCATCTTCTCTCTTTAGGGATACTGTGCTGATTATCCCTTTATTGTACATTGTCTTGTCCTTCAACCTTCTTACTCTCTTATCTTATTGTCTCTTATTTACTAATTTGTACTCCCATCTCCCTTTCTTCTCACGACAGTGCAAATTTTTCTTTAGTTTTTTAATAATAGTAAGAAGAATTGATGCTCTGACTGTGGTGCTAGAGAAAAGTCTTGGACATACCATGGACTGCTGAGAGAATAAACAGGTCTGTCTTGAAGAGGGTGAAATCAAGTTTCTCCTTGGAGGCAAGGATTTAAGTCCACCTGACATACTTTGAGCAGGTGGCCAAGAGGGACCAGTCCTTGGATAAGGACATCATGCTCGGAAGGGTGGAGGGCCAGTGCAGGAGAGGAAGACCCCAGAAGAGATGGATTGACACAGTAACTGGGGTAATGAGAGTAGACGAAGGAAAATTTTAAGTGATACACTCTGGGATGACCTGTTACCATGGCCTGCCCATATCCTAATGAATATCGTACCTTCAGAGTCCCCAGAAGCCTTGCCAGTGCAGAGATGGCAGCTGTCAGTTGAAGGAGTGCACCACTTGAAGCCTGTGTTGAGGCACCAGCAGTTTTCTGACTCTAGCATCTAACTCCCATCTGCTGATGCCTCTAGAAAACTCCCACTCTGGGTCAGATGGTTTAAGGTATGATTGCCCTACCTCTTAGGTCCAGTAGATAGGCATATGGCCCAGGCCCAGCCAATTGGTCAGTGATTGATTGAGGGGTGGACACATAACTCACTGGGCAGTCACCAGGACTGGTTTATGGGTAGACAAGTGACCCGTGATTAGCCAGTGAGTGTCAGCCTGAGGCTCCTTTTTAACCACTAGAATGCAAGCTCCCATTTGCAGAGCAGATAAAATGTCTCTGCAGCTCCCATGGTCCCTGGGGTTTGCCTGAGCACAGGCCAAACACAGCTCTGTATGCTACCAAGTCGGCTTATGCTGACATAAAGTTTATTTTCAGTCTTTTGCAACCAGGCAGGTCTATGATAATTGATACAGAAATTGCTGGAACATGGAGTAAAGGGTCTTTACCTTTCATCTCCGGTAAGGCCCTCAGAGACCAGAAGAAGACAAGGGCCCTGTGAGAGGCAGGGACAGCCAGCACCCACCTTCAGCTCCTGGAGCTTCAATCGCAAGTGGATGAGCCGAACCACAGCATCTTTCTGCTTCTCTGACTGCTCAGGCAGCTCCAGTATCACCTGCTTGCATTCCTCAATGGCCTGGCGCAGCTGCTGCACGTCCGAGGCCAGGAAGAGGCCCTGCAGGAGAACAGATGCTCTCAGACACCAACTGAGCCAGGCCTATTCTCACAGACCTTTTGACCAGAAGAGGAAATTGAGGCAAGGCGGGGTAGGGGCTGGCTTAAGCTCAGGCTCAGGCCTCTGTCCACAGGCTCAGAGGATCTAATTCAGGATGCTTTTCAAAAGGCAACTTCCTTCTTTGAGAAATTTGACCCCTATTCTGCCTACACATTTCACTTCCTCTGGAGGAAGGCTTGCTTCCTTACTGAGTTCAGGGCAGCTCCACCATCCTCCAGCCTCTGCGACTGTCCGCCCACACAGTGACCCACAGAACCAGGGATGTCCCCCTTCAGGAGCTCCTCCTGGCCTCTGGGAACCAGAGGAAGAGGGAGTGGTATCTTCCACTGGGACACAGGCTGTGCCCGCAGCGAGTGCTCAAAGCTGCTTTTTTTTAAAAAAATGTTTTTTTTAATTTTTTATTAATTTTAATCAAAGTTTAGAAACTTAGGGTTTCCAGTCATTCGTTGTTGCACTTTTCTCGCTGCCCACCCCCTCCTCCGAAAGCTACTTTTTTTTAAAAATTTAGGTTGTTTATTTTTCATTTCAATGAATATCTACAGAGATTTTGGAATTCCATTCATTCATTGTTGCACCCTTC